CCCCATACAGGCAGAGGGACGAGCGACGCCACTGCTACCCCAGGACTGTCCTGCATCTGTGCTCAGGTTCTGGTGTCACCATCTCACGTGTGAAACCGGTTTTGAACTTGGACTTCTCTGTTGCCTAAACAATACATTAACTGCACCCCCGTGCCCCCACCCCCACCCCCAGCAAAGGGTCCTGCATTTCTCAAGCTATTTTCAGCTCCACACCTACTCACTTGCAGTACTTGTCATAACAGGAAGCCTGTTTCATATACCATAATCCCCAAACACGTCGTGCCTGCACATGGGGCACGGGAGGGGACTAGGAAGGGAGTGGTGAGGGGGCCTCCTGGAAGGCCCAGCACTGAGCCCATCCCAAGGCTGAGAGCGGCCCCCCCACCCCCCAGGCCTGGGATCCAGAAACCAGAATCCATATCCAGCCAGTCTCGTTTTCCTTTCTCCTGCAGTTGCTGGTGGCTTTCTTTTTCTTTTTTTAAAAAAGCATTTGAGTAGGCAGCAAAGCCAGTCAGAGCTGTTTATTTATAGCTGTGGATTTTCAATGCTGTATAAATTAGAAATCATTGCTGAATGAGCCCCGCGCCCACTCGCACACGCAGGGCCACTATCTGGGAGTCCTTTCACACAGTTTGACTGTACACAGTCTAAAATGGGAGAAAATGACATGCTCGGAGTCAAATGACGGAGTCACAGCTAAATGGCAAAACAGAAAACCAGCAATTATTTTTCCTCAGCACAATATGGGGAGTACGACAGGTGCAATTATCCAATATTATTTAACAGCACCGGTTGTGGTGTAGGGAGAAAATAAAGGTTTCCGTGTCTTGGAGAGGGAAAAAAAAGAACCTGCCTCTCAGCTCCTGTTTCTGTGGATTAAGCTGTGTTATGTGAATTGAAACTGGCCAGGATTCCTAAAAGGGAAGAGAGACCCCCTGGCCCCCTGGCCGTCTCCCCAGTCTCGCAAACAGCAGCACCAGCAGGGACTTCTGAGAAAAGGGACCCAGCCTCGGGAGCTGTGGCCCGGACACTTCCTCCCCCGGGGGCCACGGCTCTAGGTAAGACTATGGGGAAGATGGGGTTTGCTGAGCTGCTGTCCATTAGAGGGACCCCCCTACCCCCACCCCACCGCTGTCCCTCCCTCAGCTCAGCTAAGGTGAGGCCAAAGACAAGTGGCTCACAAGGAACAACTTTCATTCCCTCCATCAGGTCTCCCCCATTTTCATTCCTACTCTCGAGCCTTTGCTTAACTGGTCACCCTCCCCAGAAAGACCCCTCCTCTTCTAGCTACTGTGGAATAAATAAATCGTCCTTGGTGGCTTCAGACCTCACTGAAGTGCCACTACCCGGCTCCCCTGAAAAGCTCTTTCTTTGGGCTCACTGCCTTCCCCAAATTCCCACAGCTGTCCAGGTCAGTCACACACGGCATCCCATCGCGCTCTCTGCATATGTCCCCCTGGATTCTGTTTCCATGACAGTATGAATTACAGGAAAGGACATGCGCTTCAGAACCAGGCCAGATCTGAGTTCAGATTCTGACTCCACAGCTCACTATCTGTATTGAACCTGGGGAAAACAGTTTAGTTATCTGAACCTTGG